TTATTTCATTAAGCCTCACTTCCTAGAAGAAATTGCCAACCAGAGTAAACCGCATTTTCAGAAAGACCTAGTTTCCTCATTGCAAAAAGGATTCGAAACCGAATCATTTCTGTTGTGGCTACAGGTTACCACTATGCAATACATTCACAGATGCGAGAGAGTTACCGGACAATTGTGATTTTCAAAGTAAGCTACGTATCTCCTAACTCCCATTTATTGTGGGAGAGTCAGTTGTGCAATCTTGTATTTTCCATAACAACCGAAAAATTAAAGTAAATTAGGGCTGACCAATTTCCGAGAGTATAAGTATTTTACATTCAAAATCTTGACTTATATCAACTCGTACGCTTAAATACGATCTAAAAAGATATCCTGGGTATGAAGATGTTTGTCAAGTGGTATAATGAGCAAAAGCTTAAAACATTTTCATAGAAAGTGAATAATGATTTCACGCGAACTACGCCAAGATGGAGGCAGATTAAAGGTAATCCACCAATCATCTATTAAGATCGGCCTATGGATCTCTTAATAACACACTTTCACACTAAATAAAATTCAGCTCAACAATTCTAGTCAATAACACGCATTCGCGAATCATCTTTAAAAAAAGATTATTGTTTGTGTCTATAAGAGAAATTAAAGTGAATTGTCGTAAAGGTAATTGAAGATTTCATGCAATAAGTTGTGAAGATCTCACCTGATCATTCTATCTGTATTTTTTTAATGAAATATTTGACCATAAATAAAATATCAGTATTCCTCAAGAAGTGAGTAACGACAGACAGAAAGGTAGGCTCTTCTAATACCTGGAGGAGCTTTAAAATTGGTTTTAAAGTTTTCAAATATAACGATGTTAGCTTTTGTTAAAATTTTTGCACATAAACATTTTAAATTCTATTTTAGGATGCAGATTCCTAAACGTTACAATAAACCCTCCGATGAACTAAAGAAAGAAACGTAGTTAGGCCCCCCAATAAGGCTAATTAACAAAAAGGAATATGTTAATGGAATGAAGAGAATCAAGGCAGTAGAGAATAAGATGGATTTTAGCTCCATAAAAATAAACCTGCTTACGAGCATAAATATAAATATATAGAAAAATTAGAAATTCTATATTATAAAGAGTAATCTGACGTGTATATATTTTTTCTTTTCAATATTAAAAAGTATAGTGAAGTACCGATTTGTCAAATAATTTTTGCGATGTAGGATTAGCACATGAATTCCTGGTGACAATGTCATTCGTTTGCGCAGGCGAGACTGATCGAATATTGTAGTGACTCTTGTGAGCGTGATTAGTCTTAAATAGATGGTGATGGCTTTGATGGCGAATCAAATGACCATGAGAATGACATTGTTTGTTATAGTTTTGATCTTGTTGGTGATCAAAGGAAAGCCCTAGTTGATGATGTTGCAAAGAGTGATGGTAATTGTGTCCCTGCGCGGCAGGGGTTGAGTGAACAGGAGACCGATTTTTTGGATCGTGACTTATCGATGTCCCTCGACTATCGGAATATCGGTGACTGCCAAGGAGCCCATCTTGCTGGCTATATGAAACAGTCCGATTTCTGACAAGCCTAGGAAGCTGTTGGAAAGCCTGGTGATTTCGTGATTGCAACGGCAAAGAGGTAGAGTGAGATCGACGCATTGGACAACTCGAGGGGCGAGACAGACGGTCCAAGTGACCATTCTGTGATAAAAATGTAGGTACACAAAGGGGAAATGAGGGAAAAATAGACATGCATTTCGAAAAAAGTGATCAGCTTATTTGTAACACCTATTACATGCAGAAAGATGGCTATATATATTAAATTGTAATGATAAATAGAGAATCTAAAGGAAATGTATATCAGAGAACAATAGAATAAAATAGCCCGAAGACTTATTTAGAATCTGTATTTTTTATTTTAGGTCCCAAACCTAGGCCACAGTAAGCTTTTCAATAAACAAAATTTCATATGAATTAAGGAACACAAGAAAATGTAGGCTTAGCGATAGATAAATCATTCAGCTTTTTGTCCGGCGTTGCGGAGTGCTTCGAACATTATTTTGGGTGATCTGCCAGGCGAGCATAGCGCGTTTTCATGAAATCGGGAATTGTCAAATATATGTGCATAGGCTCCAAGAACTTTGTATTATCCTCCCAAAGATTAGAGTTAAAACTGGGAGAGAATACCACAATTTCTTTCCCTATGATAAAGGCGAGGTAACTAGCTTCAAACGAGATCTAGTTGATTTCTTAATTACTTGCATCCGATAATCTAGCCTATGTTACAGTTCTCTTCCGGTCTAAACCGAATCTTTCAGCTGCACCCAAACTGACATTTTCCCTATTCCGGCAGTAAAACAGACAATATTGAAGGATAGTCAATTCCTCGTCCCAACATTTTCCAAGCACCAAAACTTTTGGAAATTGTAGTTTTACCTAATTGATTACAGTATTTGTCTGAATTAGATTTATTCTAGAATGTCTTCACGAATATATTTCAAATCGAATAAGCTCTGAGTTCCGCAACGCTAGTTTACACTATTTTTTCAGCTCCAATCAGAATTTCACTCTGCCCTCCATAAACTTCAAGTAGATGGTAAATGATTATAGGCAGACTATCATGTACCTGGAATAAGAAGAGATACTCATGTGTTGCAGAACTTATCCCAACTATAGCAACGAAATAAATCGAATAAAAAAACGTCAAATAGGCTGAGTAATGATGTAGGAAATATAAGAGACTGGTCTATACTTCATGGTGTACCTTATTTTTAGTTTGAAAAGGAAGGTGAAAGGCGATGGGAAGGGAAAAGGGGTAAATAAACACTCCCAGTGATAGATAAACAGTTAACCCCTAATCTAGGCAGAACTATAACAGCATTGTCTTACTCTATATGTAGAATTGATAAAAAAAAGATCAAACCATTTCAAGGGAAATTTTGTGGACAATTGAAAAAAGATTATTTAGAAAGAAGTATCATGTAGGAATGATCCTTACTTTCCAGTCGCATCAGAAGCTGTATAATGAAGATTTTTGGTCCTATGGTAGATAACTCTATGAACTAGCTTGACGAAAGAAGAAAATTCAAAATGAAGAAGGATGAGCGGCAGCCATTCCTGAATGTCGAAGTCATTCATCCCAATGAGGCACTCAGGAAAAGACAATTCAGAAAAAAATCGCATGCAGGGACATTCCTTAATTTTCAATCTCAGCATAACTAGGGAGGCCTATGACTAAGGGACCTAAGGTTTTTAGAAGCAAAATTGAACAAATTGACTTAGTTATTTCTCGGTAAAGTGCACCTGATACACGCAATAAAAAAAGAATATCTAAGAAGCAAGTAGTCAGATGAAAAATATGAAAAACAGGCCAAAAGTGAATAGCCATATCATACTACAAATAGAGCCTAAAACACGATATATTTAATGAAAATCGAATACCCGAGCCAACGAACGCAACACGAAATGATGAATAAACTGAAGTGCTCGATAGACTATTACATAACACACAGCCGCCATGGTCAAGGTATATTGGCACAACGGGGAGAAAAATCAGCATAAGAATCAAGGAACGCCAAATATGCTGCAGAAAAGTAAGGAGAGAGGAGAAAGAGTAAAATAGATTGTATGGACGAGGCACAAAACTAAAGCAAGATAAATACTTCGTTTTCGTTTATAAATATGCTTTCGAAACTACCAGTAAATGAGATGCATGGGATGTGTTCACCGTATTTCGTTCAAGATGATAAAGGACTGGTAGTTGAATTTTCACTTAATTAATTATTGTGGTAAAATTTTACTACCAGTCCTTCATGGTGAACATAACTCATATAACAGAAATACCGACGCATTGAGGTGAAAATATAAGAAAACGAAGATGAGAGGGCGTCAAAATCCTTGCTAAATAAATCTAATGAAAAGGAGACCGTAAGAGAACAGGATAAGCGAAAATTTCGTTTGCAGTTTAGGCGAACTAAGAAGAAACTAGAAAAGAATTAGCAAATAATTTGCTGGTAGTTTAAAAAAACCAAAATCAGGATAAAGCAGGATATCAAGGAGACGCTTAGATTTAGAGTCTATTTTGGAAAAGGTAAAAAAATTTACCAAAGAAGATGATCTCGATGACCAATCAAA